TATATATATATAAATAATATAACCTCACCTTGTAGGAAGATTTTACGTAAAACGATTTCAAACACCCCTAATGTGGACCATACCATTTTAACCACCTCGGCACTAGAAGCAGCCAGTCGGTGGCATCATTCATTCTCATTGAGTGACCTGTTCATTATGTTCGTCTGTCATGGTCCTGTTTGTCGTGCATTGGTAAATGTAAGTAGCCAGCAGAAGTCTAGCCTGTTGAAAATGTGTTATTTTGCAACCTTCACTTATTCGTTTAAGTGTTTCATCTACTAATGCAAGCTGACGTCTTTATAAGTTGAATTACTTACCATTGTCCTTCTGAGGCCGGTGTTCTGTCGAGTTGAGCTACTTTGTCGAGGTAAGCTACGGTAGTGCTAATCGATAGCCCTAACAATTGTTTACCTCGACAAAGTAGCTCAACTCGACAGAACATCGGTACAGTCAACATTAGTTATGTTAACTAGCAAGATAACCTAAGTTCTCTATTTAAAGCAGACTTATTTGGCAAGGTAAAATCGATCATGGTCATTTTCCAAGGAGATGAACTGCCTATGTTTTCATTCTCATTTTATCATGAATAAATTTTGCCTTTCTGAAATTAATTGGCACTTAGCCTGTGTGGTTTGTTATTAGGCTAATGTTAATGCATAAGAAGGTCTAACGTTATGCTCTGAAAAAACATTACTATAAGTGAAACCTATAGGGGCAACGTAAAAAAAAAAAACTAGCAAGCAAATAAGCCCTATTATTTGAATTTTAGTGGTATTGATTCTGCATTCCACAATTTCATATTTATGGACATTTTTAGAAGCTTCATCTGGTAACCAAGATACTGTTTTGTTAAACATAGATTAGATTTTATTCACACATTTTGAGGAAAAGGAAAGATGGAGACATCAGACCCTTTTTTGGTGGTAAAAGAAGAGTAAGTAGGAAATATTAGTGTTAAGAGCTACGGAACATTACACCAAAAGTATAGGTGCAGTTTTGCAAACTGTTAATGTGTATGAAGGAGCAGGCAGCAGGGAGATGGCAGGATCAGGACAGTGTGCAGGCAGCAGAGAGAAGGCAGGATAAGGACAGTGTGCAGGCAGCAGAGAGAAGGCAGGATAAGAACAGTGCGCAGGCAGCAGAGAGATGGCAGGATCAGGACAGTGTGCAGGCAGCAGAGAGATGGCAGGATGAGGACAGTGTGCAGGCAGCATTGAGATGGCAGGATAAGGACAGTGTGCAGGCAGCAGAGAGAAGGCAGGATAAGGACAGTGTGCAGGCAGCAGAGAGAAGGCAGGATAAGGACAGTGTGCAGGCAGCAGAGAGAAGGCAGGATAAGGACAGTGTGCAGGC